ATGGCTGAACTATAAAAGTAACGTAGAATAAGAATACGATCGTATTCCATTCTATGAGAGAATTATTTACGATTTCGAATCGTTGGACGGAAATCTTTCGTGTCTTTTCTACGTTGAGAGGGATTGGATGCAAGACGATTATCCGATTCGACGTATTCGAATATCGAGATATCGACGAGACGTAGGCGGTTGACTCGAGATTAGCCGATTAGAAGCATCTCGAGTTCGTATTTTCCCTCGCTCCTAAATATCGAGCGCACGTTCGATCGCATTAACGAGGCAGAACATGATCGCGTGGCCAAGTGTCGATGAGCTGCGCGTAACGCGAATTTTAATCTTTAGAACGACGGGATGGAATGATCGAACGACGATCGGGGGAATCGAGACGTGAATGATTCGCATTTCTCGCGTTTATTACCGTGACGACTGTGTCGGCATCCTTGATTGATTTCTTCCGCGATTGATTAAGCGATGATTGCGGGATCTTGTTTTATCGAGATTTGTTTTGCGACCCGCTAAGAAACGCCCTTTTTTCCTCTTATTTTCTCAGGCTTAGAGCTGTTAGACAGTTTTTGCGAGATTACGGGATAGCTACGATTTTCTAGAGCGGACGGGTAACGAGTATTCTCTTTTCTTTTGTTGCTTCACGAAGAAAATGATAAAAGAAGATTAATACGATTGCTTCGAAACATTCTACTGTTCCTTTGAACACGTATCTCTTCGGCGTGATTTTATCCAAATATCCAATATGAATTTAGATATTCGCCAAACTTTGATGGTAAAAAAAAAATAAAAAATTTACGAAAGATTGTTTCGACTTCGATAAATGTATCTCGATCTACAGTAGCCGGGACAAATTAATTTTGACACAATAAATTTTGTTCGTGCACCCGGTTCGCGTGCCCAACTCGTGTAACAACGTTCGTTATTCACCAACGAAACAGTAAACTTTGTTCAAACACGCGTGTACCTATCTCTGATGGAACATTAGCAGATAATACCTGTTCCATCATTGATAAATATCTTAAAAGCTAGCCACCACGGAGATCCACGTAAGGCGTAAGTAGCTTAAGGTGAGATGGTATCTGTGACCGGATATCAAAATGCGAGGAAACGCGAGCAAACAAAACCCGTTCGGTCTTTACGCTATATATATATATATATATATACATACATATACTATATCGTCAACAACTTACTCTCCTAATCTCGTCCAATCCCGTATTAACGAGCTTGGAACGGATTACAACCATGTCCACGGTTATCTTTTATGAATAACGTTGCAATTAATCATCGTCGTGGTTTTGAAAAAAAGAATAAGAAATAGAAAAAAGACTGGTTAATAAATGCACGGAAGCAATTGTTATTGATATATATATATATATATATATAATCGGAGGAGATGAAGACATAGTCGATAAATGTTCTGTCCTCGAAAATTTATATCGGATATTATTAATTTCAATTTTAATTTTGATCGATATATAAATTTAACGAAATTCCTCTCCGACTTTTCTCTGCTTCGACGAGCGGAATTTGTCGATCCGTATTCCACGACACACGAAACGCTGTTAAAAAACGCTGGCAAAAATGCTGGCTAAAAGCAAGCTGTCGCGTACGTGTCTCCCAAGTGAAACAATCGAAACGAGCGATTCGCCTCGATTCACCAAAACGGTCTCACGCCAATAAATGTTTTAACAGCGACGCGCGAACCAGTGTTTCTCCAGCGAGATTGCACTTTTTGCCAGCTGAAACGGCGTTAACGCGAAACTGGCACTCGCCGCGGTCGCATTCCGGCACCCTTTCTTCGAGGAAAAGGAGCGGCTCCCTGGGAGGAAAAAAAACCTCGATGCGAATCGCATTTTACACGAAACGTCGAACCACGATATTTGCAAAGCCGATTTCTCGTACAACGTGTAAACCGTCTATTTTTCTTCGTCCCCCTTTTTTTTTTTTTTTCCATTATATGGTTGCCAATCACGATCGAGGAAAGGTTTTATTCCTCGACAAATTTTGCTCGAATCTTCATCTTCGTTTCGAACGACGCGTCCATTTCTGCACCGATTTTCATAATTATTCGAAATTTAAGGAATTATTGGCGCACGAGTTATCGCGAAATATCCTTTATCTAGTTTTTCTCGATTATTCCAAATCTAATCTGTGTTGTTTCAATCTCTCTTCCCCAATTAAATCGGCTAAACCGTTTTGCAGCGAATTGCAGCCGATTTCACGATAAAAGTATACCGATAGTTCCGGAACCATCGTGATTCATCATCGAGATCACGTCCTCGCATACCATCCCGGTAACCTTTCGGTCCAAGTTAGTTTCATTAGGGCGAGAAAAGGCAGCGTTGCGGCAATAAAGCATCCCAGATGCATTCTAGGCGATATCTCCGGGTTGAATGGCCAAGGATTGTAACGATCGACCACCCGCGGACCGGCCAGTTGCAGCCGTCATTCATCCAATTTTTCGCGCGCGAGAGAGGCGCGAGATTGCATCGTGGCGATGTTATCAGGTGCGAGTCGATCGTGTACCGGTGTGCACGTTTAATTTCCGCCACCGATAGGCGGAACGACGAGATATCCAGCTAGGAGAAAGGACACGCCAACGCACGCGAAAAGAGGAGGAGGAGGAGGAGGAGAATCGATTCGCGGTATCGATCGCTTAATTCGGGAAGAAATGAACCGAGGAATGGATTGGATCGGAATGGAATCGGTTGGTTGATCGGTGATTAACAAGAAGGGGGATGAGAGGGGAAAAAATTGTGGTAATTCAGACTAACTTCCTGCGAAAGGATAATCAGCGTAATTCTCGACTCGAGTGTGTGTATATATATATATATAGAGAGAGAAAAGTAATATGATTAAGGAAGGATGCGTTTTTTCGAATTAATCCGTGCATTCTTGAACGATTGGAAAGCAGCATCGAAGCTGGAAGGTTGTGACTCGAAGCTTGTTGAATACTGTAATCTCGTGGAAAATTGGAGTAACTGTGTTTCGCCATATTCCCTTCCTAGGAAATAATATCGCGCGAGCATCGCCGCGAAATCCGCGCGTTCCAAAAGGCGATCGAGCGGCGCTCCTCTTTATTTTTCTTTTTTATTATAGTTTCTGCGGGGATAATCAAGAATATCGTATAAATACGGGGATTTCGATTTAACGAGTTCATAAAGTATGCCGAGAGAATATCGAGAAAGAAAGAAATTATGCAGGGGATAAATTGAATGATAACATTTATTATTTCGTTCTCGTTCGTCTCGAGCATAGATTAAAACGGACACGAAAATATTCTTGTAGTTGCGATTAGAGGAGAATTATCACTGTACGAGGATATACGTATATAAAGCTTATAATTACTCGATATGAGATGGGTTTGTTATGGTTCACTTACGTTTTTTTTTTTTTTTTTTCTTTTCTATTATAATTTTCTTGCTAGTATTAATTTGCGGTCATTGAATTAGAAGAGCGTTCATAATTTTCCGTTTCTTTCTTCGCGAAAATTGAAAGCTTCCGAGCGAACGGTGGCCGACAACAAGATTCATTAATACGTCGTACGAACTTGTTAATAACTTGTACTCGCTGTCCTTGCTATCATTTTCAATATCTTATATTCTCCGATACTTTTCCCGTGTTCTATAATATTTATTGTCGAATTATATCGGTTATTTTTCGATCGACGGGAATAATTAAAAGCGGGCAACAACGCGCGTCCAAGGAATCATTCCCAAAGGAATCTTGCCTCTCTATTAAATTAATAACAACATCGGATATCGATAAAGATCCACTCGATCTCCTCGACACAAGCAGAGCCGTAAGTAATAACGTTCTAACACGGGGAAATGCCCATAAAATACCAGATACGTGCATATCATAACACTCGGAAACTCAGCCGATGTAATCGCCGTTTATTCCGCGCAAAACTATTTTCTAAAATGGCACTTTTTAGAGCCTCGTTTCAACACCGAGGCCACCAACCTCGGAATGGTAAACACGGAACCGCGCACGCTCGATCCATGAATCACACGCTTAGATCCGTCACCGCTTAGATCCATTACACACCCGGTATACGAAACATCGTCGGGTTAGCCGATGTCTGTCGGCCGATATCCACGGGAAAAATGCGAGTTTACGCGGGCGCAATTTACACCGAGGCAGGACGGACGGGATCGAGTAAATCATCGTAGGAAGCTGCGTCGAGTGTTTTACGCACAAACTTAACCCGCGAGCACGAATTTACGATTCCTCCTTGGCGAAGATAAGCCAAGATACAGCGTGCGTACGCACGAAGGAAAAGAGGAGGAGGAGGAGCAAGAAGAGGGAGAAAAAAGAGAAGAAGGAAGAATGAAGCGGTAGACGCGCGGACTCGTGTCCCACAGACTTATCTCCGCGTTCGTGTATACACGCATACGATTATATTATACACTTTTATGCATATGCCGGTTAACCATGCGCGAGTACGCGACACGTTGTATCCGTCTACGTGTGTGGGTAACTAGTCGGCGGAGTAGTCGCTAGATAGGTGGGTTCAGAAGCCTGGACTTGCTTTGTGCTACTCCCCCGGGTGCAACTTGGCTCGTTTGGCTCCCACGAATGCTGTATCCGTGGCAAGTGTAATAAAACGCGAAACCTGTCGATCGATCGTAAAACGGTGACGAGCATTTTCGCGTTGCAATTTATCGGGCCGCAGCACAACACCAGATCTCACAGGTCTCTCGTGTTGTTAAATTCGGTCGATATCTTGGGAATATTCCGTTTATTCATTGTCTCGAAAACAAAGCGTGCATCATCCGCGAGTCTTGATTTATCGAGAGATGGATATCTTTAATTATTTTAACTCACGAATAAATTTTTAATCGGAGCTTAAGATGTATAAGAATGATAGTTACCCCGTCCGGTTAGCCTAGGTCGTATAACATTATTGCAACGACGCGTATTCCTGTTTCGGTATCGGTCAAGGAAGGTATCTCTTTCGCTCGATCTCGAGCATCCAGGTTGTCGACCCGCTCTATCCTTTTTCAGCGGTGCCCGATATTTTTTTCCCTTTTTTTCAACTCGTACTTTTTCCTTCAGCAACTCGTGCTTCCACGATCAACCGTTCCTTACCCATCATACATCCTGCCGTATTCGAATCGACAAAGTTGATCCTTTACATTTTACTCGTCGTATACGTAAACCGTTACTGCAACGTGCGTTACACGAGAGAAAGGAAACAATAAAGATAGATATATGGATCTATGGTCGGTTAAAGTCGAGAATGAAGCGATCATCTTACTCGAGGACACGTACGAGGACACGTCTCTCCTCCGCCTTCATCTTCCTCGCGCCATCCTGACCCGTTTTATTCCAGTGATAGGGAGAGTGAATAACGCAACGAACAGTGGTGTAGATAATTGATATAGTTACACGATTAGAGTAAATGACACGGTAGATCATTGGGTGAAGCAATGGGCCGTGAGGAATTCCAACGATCCGACGTTCGTGCATTATTGCCATCCCTTCGTATTGAATCCAAGTAATGGAGAACACCCCACGTAGCCTGACCCAGGATCACGACTTACGAATAATAGCCGAGGGGAACCTATCCGATACATCGATCTCACGTGTCTACACGTATGCATACGTATATACGCGCATCCTTATAAGTCGTAACCCAGGTCCAGGAAACTCATTATCCGCCACCTAAATCGCTTACGTTCGATACGTGGAACGCGAGAACGTCGTGCGAAAGGGTCGAAGGTCAATCAGAGACTAAGTTGTTACCGCGCGTCCCATTCCAACCATTTCCTCGCTTTTCTCCACAAACTTTTCTCCCTTCTTCCGTCCATTCCCCTTCGGGCCGTTCGTAAGCCTACACTAGAATTTTCCTATTACACGTCCGACGTGTAACTGATTATTCGACATCCGATAGTGGATGGTCTCGAGGCCAACGCGGTTTACGATCCGGCCAGACGGAAAGCGTGCAATTTTATCGTATATAGGATTTTCACAATGAAATCGTAAAGGGTATCGCGCGATTAACGCGACGTAACATTCCCACGGTAATTAGGATGGGCAGAGAATTTTATTTGGGAATTAGTTTTATAAGAATTTCCACGGTGAGGAAGGATACGAGCGGCGGAGTTGTACGCACGGCACAGATAATCGACGTAATCGTAAAGAGGGAATCGATGATTCGCTCTTCGAGGTAAATACTCGATTCCTCGAATTCTTGCGAGTTAGCCACGGAAGCTGCGAACGATAGGTCGTAGGTTGAAATGGAATTCTGCATCCGGGGGATGCGTAATGGTGATCCGGGAATCGCTTCGCGTATAGGGGAGGGGGACGAGGGGTGGGAGAGGGAAGACATTATTATGCAGAAGCATCGGTGGGCCTATTCGCGCAAAGGGTGAAGTTTAGCCTCGCGCAGGGCCGGCAATCGACACTATTTTCTTCAATCTTCGGAGAGGAAGATTCGAGAAGTGGAGAGAGAGAGAGAGAGAGAGAGAGGGTAATGCATTCCGACGTGAAGCGCCTTTCCGCTCTTCTACCTTCTTCTCCCTGAAATTGCTATCAACGTGTGGGATCTCGGCGAAGAACTGACCGCTCTACGGGCGAATTCAACCGTTTTTAACCGCCTCGCGCATTCCTCGCCTCCTTACTTGCTATCGTAAAAAGAATACAGCTTGACACAAATGATGCTGCGAGGAGTAGCGAGGATAGCGGTGGCCTGCTCTCTCCAACGGCTTCCGAGATATCGAGATAAAATGATCGTTATTCTACATCATCCTCGTATCCAAGCATACGATGGGCTACCAGCAAAAATTGAAAACCGACCGTAGAAATACTCGCCTTAATTATCCATCCGATAATTATTTATCCAAGCGTCGACAACGAAATAAAATTCGCGTTAACAGTTTCATTATCGGGTTGACAAACGAGGGATTGAACGCCACCAGTTCCTAGTGTACCGGTTTCGGTACCATCTATCAGATAGATTCCGGAATTGTATCGGAATAATCGGTGGGTGAACAACGAGAAAAGGGAAAGAAAGAGGAAAAAATTTCGTCGGAAGGACGCCTCGTCTCGTTTCACGTTAAACCACGAATCACGATCGTCACCTTTCGAAGCGACAGCGAGCTGCGTGGCACGGTGGAATTTCACGATTTTACGCTCGACTGCGGATAATATCCACGGTGTGGATGGGCGATTCGCCGATACCAGCCGAATAAAGAGCGCAGTTACGTGCAATGAATGTCGAGATGAAATATATCCGGTTATCGCGCTTAAACTCGTCCCTCCTCCTCCTCCTATTGACATCGAATCATCTCGTATATCGCTCTCTCCTCGACACGGAAACGAAGCTCCCTCCATCGGATTCTAACGAGCGCCGATCGATTTTCATCGTTCCTTCCTTCAACTCCAACCGAGCCACTTTGTTTTTCCATTCGATCCTTTACGCAAACAAATCTCAAATTCTACGATTTCTAGTTTACGTATGATAAAAATTCAATTTTCCCCCGTATAACTGCTCCATTATTCTCGAATAATTTACAATACTCGATCACCCTCCTTCCCCTATTCTCACCGCTTTCCATCCACGCGCAATTATATCAACACTCGAACGATTACATAGGAAATACTATTTCGCCGCACAGTCAGTCACGCGATACTCAATCTAGCCGCGCGGAGAGAAAAGATCGAAAGCACCTCTTCCCACGTGGAAGCCGCACACCATAACAGCCTCTTCAGCGCGCACGGTTCATTATCCTCGCGATCTCGTCCATATATACACGGCGAGGTACCGATTTCACATGGCGAAGGTTAATACGTACATCTCGACAAAATGATTCATCGGTTACGTAACTGTTCAGGCAATAACCCTGGCCTAACTTGGCCGTCCAACAGTGATTTCATACGTGTTCAGCGCTGAAATGTCGCGGTCCGCGCGGACCCCCATATACAGGCAGCCAGGTGAAGAGGAGGCGATCCACGTACCATCCGCGCACCATCTTCGACCTTCTCCACCGTCACGCTCGAGCGAAACTTTTGGACAGCGGATCATCCGGCTTGCAACACCTCGTTCGAATCACGCTTATTCGAATTCCACGCGCTTGAATAAATTTCTACTTTTAAATTTTCTTTAACTCGAAGGAGAGATTCCAAGAGTTTTTCCTTCC